TTAACTGTATTACTCGCTACAGCAAGCTCAACTGAAGACACATTCCCTGCTGCAAACCTGTATTTTTTTACTTGACTTTATACTTACCCCTTTTGATTTTCGATGCTTTCGCCCGCACCTTCTTAAAACTTATTCCATTTTATTCTAGGCGAACTTGTCAATCTTCTGCAGAAAATTGTCCAGTCTACGGATACGAAGACCAAACTGCCGCATCAGGCAAAACTGGACGAACTCGTCACCCTTGTACAGTTTGCCAATGACGAGGGCGACTTTGGTGAGGGTCTTGAACTAGGACTTGACCTTCTTGCATTCCATCCAAAAGGTATGTTACGGTCTCATATTTTTTTCTGGTATGCATGAGATAAATTGATTTATTGTAAAACAAAGAACAGTTAGTTATGTGTCAAGTGGTCCAAAGGATGCCTGTATTTTGTCTATTCAGTTTGAAGTGCTTTAGGTTTCTATGAAACTTATTTGACCCAAAGTTTGGGCTCGAACTCCAATTATCTAACGCCATGGCCGACGAACGGCGATTAATAAGCCGCTGTTTTTTGCTGATATTTTTATGCATAATGGCATGTCACTATGTGACTTTCCGAACGTCTGTAGACCCGAAAAAAAGCTCGAATGATCCTCCCACTTTACCAGATGTTGCTTTTGTTTTACCGGCCATCCACTTAAATTCGATGATAATCGCATACTGTACGGAAGTCGGAGTTTGGTTTCGCTCCTGGATGTGGTGCTTTCTTCCAACTGTTTGTCTAACTTCTGTAATTGATTTTCTTTGCCTTTTGCATTTATCCGCTCAAATTGAGACTTATCATTTTTTGGGGTCGTTATCAGCTGAAGATAATTGAGGTAATTAGTAAGAAGAAATAGTTTTCGTCTGCATCCAAGCTAGGTCAACTGAAGACGATGGAACGGTGCAGTTACTTTTCAAATGACATCTAGCGGGATCTATTTCAATTTCAATTTTACGATTAAAATTCTGGCCACCCGTAATTCACTGCAATGTCCTTGTCGTCACAGAAACTCACTACTTAATTTTGTCTTTCTTTCACACATTTGCAGGCGAAAATTTGCAAACGGCAAGTTGCTTCAACAACACGATTTCCTTACTCCTCTCGACGGGCTACCAACTGGCAGGTCGTCCACAATTTGCCGAAGTTATCACTCAACACATGAAAAACCGATGCATCCAGCCCTTATCTCTGAAAACCAACAGTTAGCCTTTCCCGTATAGCTGCCCATATTTTCCTGTTTATACCTTATCAGTATAATGAAAAGATTTATCGACCGCTAATTCCTCTTGAATACTGCCTGGTTGCACTCAGTGTATCTGGAGCATATCTAAGGGCTGTAGGTCGTTTCTTGTTAATCTGAGTTTATTTGGCAGAATTATATACAATCTCCCGAATCGAGGTGCCTTTCAGTGGTGGCGTCTACTTCTGAAAGATTCTAGTCCCGGGTTTATTTATTAAATGGACTCCGATCTTCAGAAGGGTTATATAATTCGTCAGAGCTTTCGGAGTCTTACAGGAGCCCGTTATCAGAGACAAGGACTCTTCACTCTCAGTCAGCTGCAGCATCCTGCTGAGAGTGTAACCAGATGAGTTGACCTCTCAACACACTTGTTACAAGTCCGGTCCGCTCCCCTTCTTAAATCTTACAGCCGCTCCATGCTAGTACGCATGTGTCCGCGAACTTAAATTACTTCTCTCCAGTCAGTGGGTCATGCGGTGCACATGTTCAGTCTGTCATCATACGTTCGGTGTGGGAACCCTCACATAGCCTGGCCTGTATACTTACATGGACTAGTGCGACCGGGAATCTGATCTGTAGGTTCTGACCTGTGGACGACATTCACGCTATTAGCGTCTTCCGTCTGTCTTCCGTGATCGGATACGGACGCATGGATTAGGAATACTAAAAATAGAATCTCCGTGCAAATTAGCGGCACGGATACTAGAACCCCTGTGCTCCTTGCTCTTGGTTATTGCAGTGCATTAGGCTATTCTCGAAGAGACCACTAATAAGGCTTCACCTGTGCAATCTTCAGATTGATCAACGTTGTCGGCAAAGACAAGGGCGGCTGGAGTGCCCATTTCTGGCTCATCAGCCAGTCGTACCCAACCCCAAGTGGTGCACAATCCGGGGCTCGAGCCCGCGACCTGTTGATCAGAAGCCCAACACTGTAACCACTGGGTCACGTACTCGTCGTTTTACCGGTTGAAATCAGGAATACTGAACGTTCACCGATGGCAAACAGAGCTTACACATTCCGCCCGCCATCAGACGCACAGCGGCTGGTAGTATAGACAGGTGAAAATTGCCTTCAAGGACGAGAGAGCCTGGAACGACCATTCTAGCCAATTAGCCCTCTTCAGACTATTTTACCATCAGCTCATCAGACTTCTTCCGGTTGTTCTTTTTCTACGGGTAATCGTTCGTATCGGAGTTACTAAATTATTGAAAAAACCCTTAATGGTCCTGATAGTCCTAAGCCCACGCCACCAAACAGTCGGTGATTCTGGAGGACGGCTGTTTTAGTGAAGTATACGGTGCCCACACTCATCTAAACCCGTAATGAGATCGCCACGACCGCCTACGCAAGCCTTTCAAGAGAGCTGAATTGTCTTGGATATCTAGTCCATTTTCCGGCTTGCGGGTTCAGTTTTAATGCCCCAAATTCGTTGGCATACAGGCAACCCACTCGAAATCTGACTCAACATCTCGTTGGCAGTAGCAGTTTTTATCCACACAATCTACGACATTCACGCCAGTAATAAGCACAAGACAAAGTGTCTCACGGGAAGATATATATTAATTGGCAGCTTCGTGATAAAAATTACGCAGAAAAGTCAAAAGCCACTAAATCCTCATTGCAGATATCGGCGTTAAAAAACGAAGTCAGAGCATTTTGCGCCCAAGCGCGCGCCAATTCGAATCGTGGAAAAGAAGGGAAGGGCTTCAGATTTTGGAAGAGTAGAAAAAGGGATCATGATAAAGAGGGCAGGGGGGGGAGGGCGAGTTGGGCAAGTATCCATCGGCTGGAAACGACGAGGACGGCAATTAGACGAGCGTACCAAAGGCAGCATTGTGACGACAGATAGAGGGACCAATCTCCTCGTACTGCTGACGTGTGTGACAAGCGGTGTAGAATTCGTTCTGCAACGAGAAATAAATACGGTGATACAGGTGAATACAAAGCAATAGCAAGGGCAAAAACTCAGCGGCCGCAATAGCAGTTGTGATGCAGCGTACGTCGCACACTGCAAACTACACAAACAGTCCAGGACGAGCGGTACGGCACTGCTGATCGAATTCTCACCGGGCTTTCCTTCTCGCTCAGGCGAGGGCAGACAGCTATGCAGTAGGGGAAACTGTTAATGAGTTGTCGCCAGATGTGGGCAGGCTGGCACGTTACTATGCTCGGCTTCGAGAGCGGCCAAGAATTTGGCGAATGGAAGCAACCTTAAATAATCAAAGCCTTGTAAAAAGATTACTCGGATAGTCGCTTGAGGG